GTATCGTCCTTTTTTTTTTTTTTCAGGCCCAGTGTTTAATCAATGTAAGTGGCGATGCAGTCATCTTTGTACGTGAATCTGAGTTAGAAATGTTACCAGTACAACCTTCTACGGTTGTTTCTCAACCTACAAGTTCTGGAGGAGATGTCACAACGTGAAGACAGAAAAAGTGAAATAGTCTCTGCCAAATATAAAAATTGTTTAAAATGTGGGAATGTTTAGGTTTGCATCTTCAAAATCAGTATCTCCCCATAACGTTAATAGCCCAAATCCAAGACAACCACTATACTTTGTCCTTTATGTAATGGTCAGGGCAGCATATTGGCAGGTATGCTTTGATTCTTTTGTTACCATTACAGGCCCCTGTGAAAGCGAGACAGAAGATGAAGCACTGATAGGAAAGCATGGATTAAAATAGTAGACTTCACATGGAACTGTGAAAGTAAACAAAAATTCTGTTGCATTTTTCAGCTGTTTAACAGGACCATGACAAGTTATAATTCAGAACCATCTCTGAGTTTGCATATTGTATTAGCTGATTCTCCGCTCAGTTTAAAAAATAAAAGCGGGGTTGAGGTGGGTGGGAGATAACTGAGAAGCCTGTATTAGCAACCGTTGCCCAAGGAGCGAGAGATTTGTGCGCAGGCTAATAAAATGTGGGCTGAAGTCTGAACTTGTCTTAAATCATAGCGTGAAGAAGAAGCAGCAGCACCAAGAAGTCAGTTTGAATTTCTGCACACTAAAAATATTTTTCAACTGTTTGAACTGCTGATTTCTTTTCCTTTTAAGTTATTACTATACAGCATATGTTTTGGGTGGGGTTTTTTGTTGTTTGTTTTTGTTTTTTTAAGAAGTGCCAGACCATGATGCTGTGTTCTAGTCATCCCTATGGTTAAAAAAAAAAGAACAAAAAGTTCCAAAGTGTGTTAGGTGCTATTATAAGATATTCACTTCAATATTGACAAAACAGATCTGTTTTTATATAAGATTCTGTGAAAGAACTGTCCTGAGGCTCATTTTCTTAAGGCATGATCTCTTGCAAGGATGACATAAACAGTCCTCCGACAGTCAAGTTATACAGAGCTATACTCCCGCCTCCTTTCCGTTTAACACATTGGAAATGCCTGGCTAAATGGAGATTGAGGTATGCTTGTGATGCTGGTTTCTGTGAGTTGGGTTGTTGGTCGTCCCCCCCCCCCCCCCCAGCACAGTAGCTGGGAAATGAGGGTACTGCAAAGAAAGGAAATTTGCCATTTCCAGCAAATGTCTGAAAGGCAGTGATATTTTAATGTAGAAAATGCAAACTTTGATCTGAAGATGCATTCTTACTTAATTCTGACAATACCATACATGGAACTTGAACAAACATGTAAACTTGAATGTAAATATTCTGCTTAGTGTTGAAATTAAGCATTGGCATGATTATTTGTTAAAACTAATTATTTCATTGTAAATGAGCATGAAAATCATTCTTGCACAATAAATTTCTGTATAAAATTTACTGCCTTTTTATATGGGTAATAGTTAAATGTGTATGCTGGATACATATTAAAGATGTTCCACCCCCATTCTCCTCAGAGGAACATTTTTGGTATAGAATGTTACAACCTCATTATTTAAAATTTGGGGAGTTAATTATCTTCATATTTAAAGTGTTTGAATTAGGTGCTTACCAGAACACTTTACTCATATAGTTAATTGTCTTTCTAAATTCTGTAGCTGCTGCAACCAAAGCTGCCATAAATTAAGTCGCCTGTAAATAGTTGCAGCTCTCTTGATTATTTTGCAAGGCAAATCTTGTTCCCTTTGAAGCTGGTGGCAGACTATTAATAACTTCAGAAGGTCTTGGATCTGGCACAAGAAGTAAGTTGTTTTCAGCGTAAGTATTCAGCATGGAAATATTCTCTGAAGTAGCACATTAAAGTAGCTGTTCCTGATTGTTTTGTTTTGGGTTTTTTTGGTAGCTTCTATGGAAAGTATTAATGCCATCTTTTCATTTCTCGCTGTTTAAAAGGTCACAGTTTCTTCTAGTGTGTTTCATTAGATGTAGAGGAAGAGCTTTCTCATCTAGAAATTTTAATTATTCTCTAATTATTATTCCGGAAATGTCAAACGTTTTTTAACTGTTACTAATTGGGATTTAGCTTTTCTTAATTGGTCCAGCTGGATAAATTTAACCTGTAGGAAGCTGTACGCTTAAATTGCTTTGACTGTTATTTTTTCCAGTGTAAAAAAAGGGATAAGTGTGTGCCAATCCATTGTCATTTGGAACATCATACCTCATATATTTCTCAGAGGTAAAAAAGGATCCTATAAACATAAGAAAAACTTCAGGGAATTATTAGAGTATGTAAGGAAAGGAAAACCAAAACAAGTTAAAAATTCAGTCGTTAGTGCACAAAACACCTTCGAGGAGCTGTCTGCCTGTAACTTAAGTTGATCTATGTTCCTTGCTGGGTTCAGAATGGCTGAAAATCATACAAAGGTACCTTGTCAGTTAATGACTTTTACCCCTTTGTCTGTTACTATGTCATGACTCGTTTTGGTTGTGGGAGAATCATTGAAGGTTCTGCTGAAATGGGCGCAGTTAATGCAAGATACCCTACTCTTTCCTGGAATGGGACTTGGAAATGTGGGGGGACAAACAGTATCATTTGAGATTATTTGTGGCTCAAGCGTATGTTGCTTTGTCAGGAATTTATCTCTATGCTGAGAATAGCTGGCTGGGGGTAGGAGCTAATGCAACTTGCTCATAGCGGTTTTGGCTGGGATAGAGTTAATTTTCTTCAGAGCAGTATGGTGCTGTGTTTTAGATTTGTGACCAAAACAATGTTAACACAGGGACATGATTGCTGAACAGGTCTTGCACGGTGTCAAGGTTTTGTTTATCACACTGCCCCCTCCCCAGTGAGTATGTTGAGGGTGGGCAAGAGGCTGGGAGGGAACGCAGCCGGGACAGCTGACCCAGACTGACCACAGGCATATCCCATACCATACAACGCCATGCTCAGCAGTAATCCTAGGGAGTTGTTTGCCAGGGCTTGTGGTTGCTCGGGGACTGGCATTGGTCAACTGGTGGTGAGCAATTGTTCTTTGCATCACTTGTTTTTCTTTGTTCTGTCTTTTTTTCTCTTCTTAAACTGTCTAGCTCAACCCATGAGTTTTCTCACTTTCACCCTTCTGATTCTCTTCCCCATCCCACCAGGCAGGAGTGAGCAAGCGGCTCACAATGGTGTATATATTTGCCTATGCTGTTATGCAAACAGAAGACTTAATGCCTATTCTGATTTTAACACAGGGTGGAACAGAAGAAAACAAACATCACACGATTCACAAAAGATATTTTTAGAATTCTAATGATTTGTTTGGATATATGAACTATTGAAGTGTAAAAAAAGGGATAAGTGTGTGCCAATCCATTGTCATTTGGAACATCATACCTCATATATTTCTCAGAGGTAAAAAAGGATCCTATAAACATAAGAAAAACTTCAGGGAATTATTAGAGTATGTAAGGAAAGGAAAACCAAAACAAGTTAAAAATTCAGTCGTTAGTGCACAAAACACCTTCGAGGAGCTGTCTGCCTGTAACTTAAGTTGATCTATGTTCCTTGCTGGGTTCAGAATGGCTGAAAATCATACAAAGGTACCTTGTCAGTTAATGACTTTTACCCCTTTGTCTGTTACTATGTCATGACTCGTTTTGGTTGTGGGAGAATCATTGAAGGTTCTGCTGAAATGGGCGCAGTTAATGCAAGATACCCTACTCTTTCCTGGAATGGGACTTGGAAATGTGGGGGGACAAACAGTATCATTTGAGATTATTTGTGGCTCAAGCGTATGTTGCTTTGTCAGGAATTTATCTCTATGCTGAGAATAGCTGGCTGGGGGTAGGAGCTAATGCAACTTGCTCATAGCGGTTTTGGCTGGGATAGAGTTAATTTTCTTCAGAGCAGTATGGTGCTGTGTTTTAGATTTGTGACCAAAACAATGTTAACACAGGGACATGATTGCTGAACAGGTCTTGCACGGTGTCAAGGTTTTGTTTATCACACTGCCCCCTCCCCAGTGAGTATGTTGAGGGTGGGCAAGAGGCTGGGAGGGAACGCAGCCGGGACAGCTGACCCAGACTGACCACAGGCATATCCCATACCATACAACGCCATGCTCAGCAGTAATCCTAGGGAGTTGTTTGCCAGGGCTTGTGGTTGCTCGGGGACTGGCATTGGTCAACTGGTGGTGAGCAATTGTTCTTTGCATCACTTGTTTTTCTTTGTTCTGTCTTTTTTTCTCTTCTTAAACTGTCTAGCTCAACCCATGAGTTTTCTCATTTTCACCCTTCTGATTCTCTTCCCCAAACCGCTGGGAGGGAAGGCGTGAGCGAGCAGCTGCGTGGTGTCTGGCTGCCTACCGGGGTTAACCCACAGCATTGCTGCTTTCTCTTGACTTGAGGAATCCAAATGACAGGGGGTAGAGTGAAAGCAGCCCTGCTCCTATCTGCAGCCCTCAGAAGAACCACTAAGCTTGGGTTTAAAACCTTCACATCAATATTGTGAAGGAATCAGGTGGTGTCACCCTTCGTTGGAAAGGAGTGGTAGCGTCTGCTGTAAAAGACTGCTTCTCCAGGCACTATTTCACTTGCAGCAGTGGAGCTAGGTCTGTGTCAGGCCTTCAGGTGACGGGGCAGTGATCAGGGCCTGAACAACCGTCACCTCCTCCAGAGAACAGCAGACTAAGAGCGAGCATCTGCAGGTGATGGTGCTGCTTGCTGATTCTTTCCCTATAACCATCACTATTTTGAGATGCACAGTGCTTGCTAAATCGACCAACTCAAGCTTGAAGGTAGGCAGGAATTTAACTTGGAGGGAGACGTTGGCTTCATGTTGGAGTCCCAGTTCTAGGAATGTATCTTCTGGAATAACCCCACTTTTTTTTTTTCCTTTCTTTTTTCAACTGGGAGCTTGCTTTCAGAGCTGGTTGAAAAGTCCTGGGTGTTTTTTCCTTGTTAACCTAGTTTGTGAAGGTGCTAAGTGAGAGCAAATGTCCTCTGGTGTGAAGATAATTATGGCTCTTTCTCCACTCCCCACCCCCCCCAAGTGGAATCAAATGTTTTTTCTTGGTGTTTTGTTGAAATTAGAATTTCCTTGGAAATGAAACCTGAGGGGCTGGTTCACTTTTGTCAGACTGAAAGACAGCCCTGCACCTATCTTGCTAGCAACTTGCTGAGGAGCAGATATGTGAAAGTAGAAGCAAGACAGATGCAGGGAATTACGAACAGTTGCGATGAGTGAGATGTCAGTGATTGTGAAGTTTTCGGAGAGCTCTCAGTTCCCTTTTGGTGTTCAGATAAGGATAGATGGAAGCTTTGATGACTGATCTGAGTAACAAGAGTTTTCTTGGCAAGCATGTTATGAACAACTGTTCTGCCACAGCATCTGTGGATCTTCTGTTGAGCCTTGGGCTGTGTGGCAAGAAAAGTTTTCTTGCCATCCAGTATTTGTAGTTTTGGTAGATAGGAGAAAGCTCCGTTTTGACTACTCTGCAAAGCAGAAATGAAGCAAAAAAGGATGAAGTGACTTGCCCTGTCTGCAGAAGAGTGCCAGGCCCTGGGAGCACTAACAGGTCTTACAGTCCCTGCCTGGCCTCATCCCACCCAGCCCAGGGTCCCATTTCAGCCCCCGGGGTCGCCAGTCCCTGCCCCAGCGATGCCGCAGCACGGGCCAGTCTCCAGCTCCCCACAGCCCTGCCCTGCCTGGCCGTGGGCACTGCTGAGCTGGTGCTGCCCCCGGGCCGTGGGCTGCTGAGCTGGTGCTGCCCCCCGGTGCCCCCCTGCGCCCTGCCCTGCTGCCCCGGGGACCCCCCATCGCTCCTGGGGGCCTGGGCAGCAGCGTGATGCAGGGGAAAGAACTGGGTTTCAAGATGCAGGCTGACACAGTAGCTTAAATATTGAAACATCATTCATTTTTAAACTTGCATAGCTTACATTAGTCGTGACAAGTCTGACACACTGAAAGTTTCAGGTGGCAGGAGAGGACCCCGTCTTTCTGGGGTTCTTTCTTCCACGCACAGGCTAGCTTTCTGCCCAGGCTTTCGAGAAGTCAGCTGTATAAACCCTGCCTGGTATGAGAGCAAGCTGGGCTGCTGCTCCTCATTGGTACAAATGACCCCATCAGGTAATGCTTTTCATTGATATACCTCGAGCGTTTCATGAAATCGGTTGGTATAATTTCTCCACTTTATGGTTGAAGTAACTGAGACGGAGAGGTGTGAAGCAACGCGCCAAGGTCATGCTGGGGGCTGGTGGGAGAAGCAGGTCTCACTCCAGGCATCAAAAGGCTGTGCTTGTGAGTATGGTGCGACAAACGAGAATGGGCTGAAGACAGATTTGTGTGGTGTGCTGGGTCTCTTGTCGTTATAGCTACGTGATGAATGCATTGCCTGAAAAATGGACCTTAGTCTGCACCAATATAGCTGGAGTTAATGATCTTAGATAAGAATTTACTGTGTATATCAGTCAATGGACAAATTGCTCAGTAGAAGTTGGAGTTTGAAATTGTTGATTTCATTT